TGCTGTGAGCTAGGCTGACGCCACAGCACTCACTCTAGCCTGGGCGTCTCAAAAAAAAAAAAAAAAAAGAGTTATAAACCTATATATATATATAGATGTATATATATATCTGACCTAATCTCAAGGGCTAAGCTTTCACTTTAAAATGTGAGATGAGACATGTGCCTAAACAACTTAACAATAAATAAAATCCAATAGACACTATGAGGGGGCAGTGGAGTAGGGGAGACAGGCAAATAGTGCTGACAGAGTTAGAGGAGAAAGAAGTTACTTCCCTAGGGTGAAAATCAGGGGGAACATGGTGCATACCTTGCTATATCCCCCCGGTAGAGAGACTTATACTCCCAGTTTGCAGGATCTGGCTTCTTATCTGTTCTGAAGGTTTCTCCTGTCCGCACCTGAACGTCCTCAAGCCAAACAAAGCGATGTCCAATATCAGCAGCAGAATTACCTCCTTGACTGTGGGACCAAGGAAGGAAAAGGGAGAGGCACTTTAAAAAACTTTCTGTGACAATAGCTCGCATTTTTTTTTTTGAGACAGAGTCTCACTGTGTTGCCCTGGCTAGAGTGCTGTGGCATCAGCCTAGCTCATAGCAACCTCCAATTCCTGGGCTCAAGTGATCCTCCTGCCTCAGCTTCCCAAGTAGCTGGGACTACAGGCATGTGCCACCATGCCTGGCTAATTATATTATATATACATATATTTCTTTTTTCTTTTTAGTTGTCCAGCTAATTTCGTTCTACTTTTTTTAGCAGAGATGGGGTCTTGCTCTTGCTCAGTCTGGTTTCAAACTCCTGACCTTGAGTGATGCACCCGCCTTGGCCCCCCAGAGTGCTAGGATTACAGGCATGAGCCACTGCTCCCAGCCCATAGCTCACATTTTAAGAAATATGAACATTCAACATTTCAAACCCTACATGGCATCAAACACATCTAAGTACATAAAATATGCACATGCCATAGAGATGGGAAGAGGACTACTGCTCTGAGAAAAGAGTTTTAAAAAATAAAGCAAAACCTGTTACCACTAAATGATACTTTACCAAGAAAAGAAGTCATCTCAGAAATTAACCTGAAAAATATGGGTGTTCTTTTTAAATATGTCATTTAAATGACTGTAACTTGAATTTCAAATATATTCATAAACAAGAACTTTCCCTAAAATATGGTCCTGCTCTGAGGTACTTTAGAGTGTCAGGCAGAAGGAACTACCACACCTTCAAAAGGTGACAGCCACTGACATTAAACTGGGCTGCCCTTACTTCACCTAACTTATCTGAAAGTGCTCAGATACTTTATTCCAACTCAAAACTTTTTTTAAAAGAGCCACAGTTCTGAACTGCTCAGCCTGCGCTGTGACTTGGGCTTGGTTTCAGTCTCATTTTTACCACCTGGACTTCATGCATGGTGTTTTGCCCATTAAACTGGACCTCCTACATAAAGGGCAGAACCATGAGAGTTCACTGAAGACAAGACCCTAATTTATCTCTTTGAATCAATCTGTTAGCTGGCAGACATTCAGCTAGGATACAAAAGAAACTACTTCCTTAGGCATTAAGTGAGAGGGATGGAAGGTTTTTCTGGCACCTAACATCATTCTTCCTCTAAAGAAAATCAGTTCATAATGCTGCTGACACAAGAAGCTGCCAAAGTAGTCAAAACAGCCATTAACTGTTGTTCCATCTTTGCTTTTTAGCTCTGCCCAGATACAAATAAAGATTTTGGAGGCTTCTAAATCATTCTTGGCAGGGAATACAAAGGAATGGCATTTCAAGAATGCAAAGTAGCTACTCAATAAATAGTTGCGGAATGATGAGCCTCAGGTTAAAATATATGAAGATTTTAACACATTCCCTTTCAGAACAATCGTGGAGGGTTTTCTGTCTACAAAAACTGTAAGGGCAGCAAAAGGAGGGAGGGCCCACTTGGAAGAGATTGATGTACTCCAGAAAGAAATGGAATGTCAGTTGGGAGGAAAAAAGAAGGCTACATGCAAACTACTCCTGAAGAGTAAACAAGCCTTCTTCCCTCCTCTACTGGGTACTGAAGTCAGGAAGCAGGATGTGGTCTGGGCTATGGCAAGGAAGGCTCTGCCTCCACCTGAGGAAAAGCCCACCCAGGAAACAAAGGTCAATTAGTAGCTATGGCCTCTGGGGAAGTTAGCCCAGTCCCCTTGGAATAAAATCCCATATGGTATGCTACCCTCCAGGAAGCCATTTCCCTGAAATCATGGAAAGACTCTCAAATCTCACTATATCTTAGTCTTTGTCTATGTGGAAATATTAATAAACAATCCTTCCAGGTGACTTTCCCAGGAAGAGACTACAGAATAGCAAGAATTAAAAGACAAGAACAATTTATTTTGATCTTAATAAGGATATCCTGCAAAATATCAACAAACTTAAAAATGCTCTTTCGATCATAAAACTATCAAGAGGCTGTAAAGATCCCCTCTGATGTGATTAAGCATAAACCAAAATTAACTATCCTTCAAGTTCTAATGACAGTTTCTATTAATATATGGTTTCAGGAAGTCCTTTAAAACTCACTTTCCTTAGCTATAAAAAAGGACAAGTAGCTAAAAGGTGAGTTTTCAGAAGACAGAATAAAGTAGCTTGTTTTGAAAGACAAATTAAAAAGCAAGGATACTAATAATATATTCATTCATTCATCCATATGACAAAAATGCACTGAGTGCTTGCTCTGTATCAGGCCCTGTGCACCAAGCCCTGGGGGGCTACAGTGGTAAGCAAGGAAGGCACGGTTCCTGCCCTCATAAATTCAGTCAAATTCAGAACCTGCTGCTTGGCTCCTTTATTTTTTCCTCCAAAGAACAAGCTTGGGTTACAGGTTTAACACCTGGGATACACCAAAGGCTAAATGAATCTGGCTCCTCTGTGGCACAGAGGCCTGCAGTGCACTGCGACACTGATCTGATGACAGAGCGATCCCAGGAGACTGCAGTGTTTGCTTCTCTGATGGCAACACTGAGGGCTGGGTTCCAGACTTGCTCCAACGCAGAGCTCTCACTGACAGCAATGGGACTTCCAAACTTACAACAAAAGTAAATAATCCCTGAAGAGTTGCAAAAATCTCAACAGCACTACTTTAAGGGATGTCCTGGACACATACTTACATTTTCTCTTTTCTAGCCCATATGAGCAAAGAAAAGAAAAATGTTAAATAAGCATTAAGTCAGGTAGCTTCATCACTTATCGCCTGTCTCACCTACAGGTAAATGCCTCTCTATATGTAGGAGGATGTTAGACTAAGCACACAGAAAAAGCTATATTGAGTACCTATGCTGTGACCATTCTTTAAAATGACTTGAACAATATGCTCAAAGTAGACAACAGAGTAAGATATGGGGAGAAATCAAGCCCCCAAGGAATGGAAATACTGTGGTCTTGAGCTATTCTACACCTTTAACACAGTGGTCCTAAAAAAGAATGTGAAAAAGAAAAGGAAAAGGACAAAAGCAATAATTATTTAAGTGCTACATTAAACTTAACGGAAAGACGTGTGTGCATGTGTACACACACCAATGGGCAGGAGTGACTGAATGAAAGACATATCAAGGAAGAGGAATGAGATGTTTCTCTTACTCTCTGTAAGTGTGGAGGCCAGGAGCCCTCAGAGATGGAACCCTTAACTGTGCAGTGCACTGACCCACATACCCGCTATGTGGCACACCTGCCATCTTTCAAAAGTCCCAAAGACTTTTTGTCTGAATCAGATTTTGACATAATCACTACTGTGCCTAAATAACATTTCTCACCTGGAATCATGCTCTTAATTTTTTTTTTCTTTTCTTTTTAAAGATCTAATGGTAGAGCTCTCTTTTGATTGAGTGGCTAAATAATCAATCAAACAAACATCTACCTTGTGGCAACAATCAAAAAAAGAAAAACTCAAGATTTAAAATAATTATGCGTATTTGAGAACAGAGACACACCTCAGTTTCTCAGACTCCTTTTTACTGCCTTCGATGCTGCGGAGAGACTTGTCCCTTTCAGAATCGGTGTCTGGCTCAGATCCACTGCTGCTCGACTGCCCGTGCTTTCTCTTGGTTTTCTTCTGGTGCTGATGCTTCCTTTTCTTCTTTTTCTCTTTCTTCTTTTTTCTGCTTGCTTGTCTGACCTTTTTGTTAGTGTCACTTTCGTCTGAAAGCTCTGATTTCAGAGGACTCCTGTTTAGGAAAGTCAACTTTAGAATTATTTTCCAAAGAGAAGTAGGGAAAATTAATATCTAAATAAGTGAGTAAATAAATAAGTAATACGGAACCCTATGAATGTTCACATGGATCTACTATTTGTCTATATATTATACAGTATATTCCTGGATTACATCTCACCATAAAGACTTAAGAACTGGGCTTAACATAAAAACGAGTGAAGAAATTCTAATTTTAATAGTTTCTAAACCTACACTTTCATATTTATACATCTTTAAAAGAAAGTAACCTCCCATTATTTTATCAAATATATTGTTTTTTAAAACATTATAAAAGGTTTATTTTCAGTACCACATATTATGCCAACATGTGCTTAATGCAAAAAGGCAAAAAAAAAAAGATTTAATTGTGGTATTTGTTTTTAAATGTGACAATGAGCTCTTCTTCCTCCTTACTGAAATATCTATAAACTTCCTCTCATGCATCAACTATTCTCAATTTCTAAAGGCTTCTTACACACTTAGACAGAGTTTCCCAGGGTATTCACCCCATTAATGAGACCATCTAGTCTATATTTGTGAGACAGCATATTTCTCAGTTCAATGATCTACAACAAAATTCTTTCACAGCTGGGTAGAGATATATGCCATTTTGCTTTCCCTGATGTTTTTATGAGATTTTTATCCTATGTTATAGTATATGAGCTCCTTCTATTTTTAAAAAAGTGTTGAAAATTCAGCTAAAGAAATATCTGAATTACAATACTCTAAAGGTTACTAATGAGGTTAGTAAAGTTACTTAAGAATCACAATGATGCCATTTCCCTCACGGCCTAATTATAGCCTAACTGTGTCATGTACTTGCCACTGCAATGCAAAGAAAAAAAACAGAATAATCTATAAAAGTGAGGTAAGGGAAAATAGTCAAAGATCACATCATTTTGAGGTAAGGGAAAATAGTCAAAGATCACATCATTACTTTAAGTAAATGGAAGTTTTACATAGCTCTCTTATCACAGGGTTTTCTAAGGAGCATCGTTTAAGCTAAGCTATAGATAGTATAGTGACAAAAACTAAAACCCTACTGTCAAAAAGGCTACCTTGTCAGTGGTGACCCTTCAGAAACAAGGGCTGTGGCTGCTTCAGTCTGTTGACTCAGTGACGTTATGGATCCAACACAAAAGCTTGGGTTGCTCAGCCAGTCTAACTCTGCACAGCAAAAGGGAGAAAAGACCAAAGAAATTAGCTCAGTATGATTCTGAAGTAGAAAATCTAACCATCTTATCAGCTGACATACTAATTCACAGCCAACATCAGCCAGACATTCTGAACAATCCACAGAAGCCAAATGGAATCCATGAAATTTTTATTTCACAGGGCAATGGTGCTTTAAAACACTCTAAAATATTTAAGACAGAAATCCTCTTATGACATTGAACTGTAGCTTAAGCAAAAGCCATGTAACAAGTGTGGCCAAAAAGGCAACAAGGCATTATTATGTATTCCATCCACACAGTCTAATAAGCATGAATGCTTCCAAAGCATTTGGTTTTAATGACCTCAAATTTGATTTAGACAATTCCCAAAAGTTAAAAAATCAAATCATGCATAAAAGCTCACCATGTTTGGTGTTATTACAGGAGATTAAGATCTTTTAAAAAGATATTCCATGTTCTACCTTAGTATACTAACTTAACAAACGTTTCCTTATAACAGTACTCCCCTTCGGAAATAAAAATGCAAGATATCAACTTTTAATGCTAAAATCAGATAAATGTTAATACTGTAATGTTTATCTCTGGGTAGTCATATTAAATGTCTAACAGTTTTCTTCTTTCTGCTTATCCCTAATTTCTAACTTTTCTATAACTAACTATTTCTAAATTACTTATTTTCTAACTTTTAGGAGTCTTACCTGTGAAAGGAAGAAAAAAACATGGGATGGCAGTAGCAAGGGAGCCTACAGGGGGATATTTTGTCCTGTTTTGTTTTAGGATAGGAGGCCAGAGCATATTCATATGCTAAGAAGAAAGAACCCATAAAATGTCTGAAGATACAAGTTAAAAAGTTTAAACAACTGTATCTTTAACAGTTTTATTCAGATATAATACACATACCATAAAGTTTACCCACTTAAAGTATACTAGTCAATGGTTTTTAGTACACCTACAAAGTTGAACAGCCATCTCCATAACTTTAGAACATTTTCACCATCCCAAAAAGAAACCTCTACCTATTAGCAGTCAATTCCTATCACCCACTTCCTGTTCTTGCACCCCACCCCCCTATCCCTAGGCAACCACTAATCTACTTTCTATTTCTATAAATTTGCCTATTTTGGACATTTAATATAAATGAGCTCATATTACACATGTGGTCTTTTGTAACTTTCTTGTCATTTGGCATAATCTTTACAAGGTTCATCCATGCTTTAGCATGTGTAACTACTTCGTCCCTATTATTACTGAGAAATACTCTATTTTATGGATATACCACATTTTATCTGTTCATTAGTTGGACACTTGGGTTATTCCCTCTTTTTGGCTATTATGAATAATGCTGCTGTGAATATTCATGTACAAGATTTAATATGGATGTGTTTTCATTTCTCTTGGGTAGATATCTAGGAGCAGAACTGCTAGGTCATATGGTAACTCATGTTTAGCATTTTGAGGAGCTGCCATACTGTTTTTCAAAGTAGCTGTATCATTTTAAATTCCCATTAACAATAGATAAGAATTCTAATTTCTCTGCATCCCCACCAACACTTGTTACTGTCTTTTTGATCACAGTCTTTTGGATCACTAGTAGGTGTGATGTGTTATCTCATTGTGGCTTTGATTTTCATTTCCCTCGTGATTAATGACACTGAGCATCTTTTCACATGTTTATTGGCCATTCAAAGATCTTCTTTAGAGAAGCATCTATTCAAATCCTTTACCTATTTTAAATTGTGTTATCTTTTTATTAATGAATTCTAAGGGTTCTTTATATATTCTGGATACTAGTCCATTATGGTGATTGTATCTTAGGAGGAAACACCAGAACATGTGCTTCCTGATGACAGATACTTTGTTTTTATTGTTGTTGTTGTTGTTTTGAGACAGAGTCTCACTTTGTTGCCCAGGCTAGAGTGAGTGCCCTGGCATCAACCTAGATCACAGCAACCTCAAACTCCTGGGCTCAAGCAATCCTCCTGCCTCAGCCTCCCAGGTAGCTAGGACTACAGGCATGCGCCACCATGCCTGGCTAATTTTTTCTATATGTATTAGTTGGCCAATGAATTTCTTTCTATTTATAGTAGAGTTGGGGTCTTACTCTTGCTCAGGTTGGTTTTGAACTCCTGAACTCAAACGATTCGCCTGCCTCGGTTTCCCAGAGAGCTAGGATTACAGGCATGAGCCACAGAGCCCTGCCAGATACTTTTTTTTACTCACTGCTATATCACCAGCACCTTGAGAAATACGTGGCATACAGTAGGTGTTCAACAAATATTTGTGAGAAAGAGGAAAAGGAGGAAGGAAGGAAAATTCCAAAGGAGGAAAAGGTACATAAAACAGTACAGAAAAAAGGGAAAGAAGAGAGAGATTCTAACTTCAGTGCCTTCAGTAGCCCAAACACCAGGCTAAGCACTTACATCCTTTACATTTTTTAATCCTCACAAGGCTCTAGGGGAGGTATTATGATCTCTACTTTATAGAAGAGGAAACTAAGGCTCAAAGGGATTAAGTAATTTGTAAGGTCATGTCTAATAAATGCTAAACAATTGTTCACGCAATCTTTCTTCTACTGTCTCCTTTTTCCTTCTGAGGTTTCTTCCCTTCCCTTGGGCCTAATTCCTGGCAAGAGATAGGTGAAAATAGTTCCTGTTGCTCATAGAGATCACAGTTATTTCCACAATAATCAGATCTATCATGAACAAAAGAAGAGAAAAGTGGGAAAAGATGGAACAAACAGTATACAGAGAAACATGCTCTTAAACAATTCCAGTATATTTTTACATAAATATTCTAGATAGTGATGATAGCTGGAAAGCAATGTAAAGAAATATAGACATCAAAACAACATAAAGTATGTGACTCTTCAAAGTCCTCCAGAAGGTACAAGAAAGGTTTTTTAAGGATGCAACTGAGACTTTGCCATTATGACCTAACTATAAAAACTAATGTTATAAAGAACTACAAACTCTCTTTTATTTGTTTTGTTGCCTTCTTCCCCTTTGTAAACACGGTTTACTCCTGGCGTTGCCCAACCTAGCAGTTGCACTGGAAATCATTACATACTCATTGCAATCCCAAAGTCCTCATCTCAAGTGTCCTCCTACCTCAGCCTGGCCAGTACTGGAACTACAGGGAAGCACCACCACACCTGGCTAAAATTTTCCTGGTCCTGTAGGTTCCCTGAGCTCTCTACATCCAACCGCTAACTCTCGAGAAACTCGTCAGTTTGAACCTGAATCATCATGGACTGTGCAGCGTCTTGTTGATCCTTCATCTCGAACCAACATGACCCCTTTATTTGGGTGGCAAAAAGATATTTGTTCACCTGACAATATCAGTTTTTTGTTTGCTTTTGTTTGCGTTGTTCTAGCATATCAACAAGTGCGAATATGCATGACAGTAGAATAATAAAAAATCTTCGAGGCGGTACTTTGGATGCTAGGCCTGGGAGGATTCTGGAAATCATCTACCACCATGTTTTCAAAACTTTGCTTAGGCCGAAAAAACTCACTTCTCAAAACAAACAGGGCGTGTGTTTTCGTTGGGTGATTCCTCTTCAGTGATTCCCATGAAGAACTATGTACCATGGAAGAATCAAAAACAGGTACGATCTCTGTTGGCGCGGGCGGGTTTGAACGGGGGCTGGGAAGGGAGGGCATGGTCGAGAGCGCCCCTGCAGAGCCACAGCCCTAGACATCCCTCCCTCACAGATCAACATTGGAGACCAACAGCTTAAGTCATGTGCCCAATGCCAACACATTTGAAGCTAGATCATGCCAATTCTTCATCAGTCTGCGTCACCCACCATGGTGCTTCTCTTCCTCTCCCTCAACTAAGAGCTGGTGCCCCTAAAATCTCCTTCCAATTGGTACATGGGGGGGCCACTTATCGACAATTCTCAATTATAAATCTCATCTATGTGCAACGTCAGTCTTTCCCACTATATTTCTACAAACCAAGAGTCAAAACAATTCAAATCACCTATAAGGAACCAATTAAATAATGAGGTACGTAGCACTAACGAGTAACCAGCAACAGAAAAATCGAAACAAAACATTCTCCTATCAAACAATATACTCACTGAGTTTATTAAAAACACACAAAAAATTTGTTGAGCCCCAGGCCTAATTGAGTGCTGTGGCGTCAGCCCTAACTCACAAGCAACCTCAACACTCCTGGACTCAAGAATCCCTACTGGCCTCAGCCTTCCGGAGTAGACTGGACTAACAGGCATGTCACCACCATGCCCCGCGCTAATTTTTCTATATAACATATTTAGTTGGCCAATAATTTCTCTCTATTATAGTAGAGCACCACGGGTCTCACTCTGCCTCCAGCGCCGTTACTGAAATCCTGAACCTCTAGAGCAATCCACCCCCTCGCCTCCCAGAGTGCTAGGATTACAGGCGTGAGCCACCACGCCTGGCCTGGTTTATAACTCTTGTATCCAAGTTCCCAGCTCCTTTCTCTGCTCCTACCTATCACTCCCCAAACTATAAGCACCATGAGGGCAGGGGCCATGACTACTCACTCCTGTATTCCCAACTCCTGGCACAGTGCCTTGGCACAAAGCAACTGGACTTGATAAATATTGGTTGAATAGATAAAAATAGATGAGGATGTGGAACATACCTTTGCATCTTTATACTCATACCTAATTGGCTGAACAAACTGAAGAAATTTGAGATCTTCAAAAAAGCCTATTATCTAGCTATAAAGTACAACTATCGTAATGCTTTTATTCTTCATGGTAAATGTATATTTAATCATTAAATAAATTACTGAGTACCTACTATATGCCCAGGCACAGGTCTAGGTTTTGGGGATACAGTGGTGAACAAGAAAGGTTCTGCTCACATGGTGAATTAACAGTTAAGGTTTATAATTATAATACCTTTAGATTGTTAAGTTCAATTTTAGTTAAATAGAATCCTGGAGAAAGTGAACTGAGATTAAAAGATGCTTTATTAATTAGACTGCCAAGTGCTTTTCAATAGTTACGTCCTCACATAATTTACAGATTTGATGGAAATTAAATATGTATTTAGATAACTGTGCCTATGCTAAGAAGGATGAACATATCACAGAGAAGACCAGCAGTATACCAAATGCCCAGGGTTTAAGAGAGAGAATCCAACTAGCTGACAAACCTTTTATCCCCGCAGGTTAGTAAATAAATCACCAATTAGAAACTGCCTGGATATTAACATTCTACCATACATTTTATGACACATACACACATCTAAGAAAGGAAGAAAGGTGAAGGTATCAGGCAGAAAAACGACTTTAGTGCTAATATATCTGGTAGAAATGCAGCATGTATAAATTTCCAGGGTAATTTAACAGAAAATAATACAATGAATCATCAGTGAATACTTTAAGCTAAAATGCTTTTTGTGATATTTTTATTATATAACTATTTCCCCATCACTAGAGATAATGCTTTAATTCAATACAACTACAGATGAGGAAAAAACTGCTGTGAAAAGTTTCAAACTTCAAAAACAAATCTTGAATAATCAGATAAACTCTCCAAGTTCTACACCCATTCCCCATCCTATTCTAACAAAATAACACTGATTACTAGTTTGCTTAAGTAAGCTCAGAGGTGAGTGCCACCCCTCCAGAGATAATTCAAAAAACATTTCTAGAGCTCACTGTTCAAGTAAACTAGCATATATATTAGGGAGGAAGTTTGTCCCTTTAAAAAGAATAAGCCAAGCTCTTCATTTTTATCAAAACCCTCATTTTCTGACACAGGATCTGGAAGCCCAATCTTATCTGTACAAAAAGCACCAGCAAACATTGACTGAGAACTGCATTTAAGATGGTAACAATAGAGAACGTGAGCAAAGTTGGCCCTTCCACGGAACCTACGATTTGAAGAGGCCCACAAATTCCAAAGGTAATACTTAAACAAGCAAAACCCCAACATTCTAATATCATAGTGTGGTTTATAACAGAAGTTCTGGACTCGGAAGGACCTGTGTTCAAACTGGCTTTATTGTTTCTTAGTTGTGCAACTCTGAACAAAACACTTAATCTCTGAGTCTCTTTTTCTCATTTGGTAAGCTTTTACTGAGAGCCAGGCACTGTTCTAGATGCTAGGAATGCACAATGAACAAGATAAACCCAACTCTACTAGACCTCATGAAGCTGACAGTTACATGCAATGTGACAAATGCCAAGATAGAGGGTGGGGGGAATAGCCTACAGGAAGAAAAAATAGATTTCATTAGGAAAGACAAATGGACTTGTTAGGAAAGCAAAAGTGACAGTGGTCCCCAACCTTTTTGGTACCAGGGA